TATCTACCTAGATTATATAAACACTTGAATGGATTTATCCTTGTTATTATAATTATAATTATTATTATTAATATTATGATCACCTCGATTGTTATCCATTAATTGACATCCTTGAAATCTGACCCTATATGAACATATTAGTGACATTAAATCAAATGCCTATCTACGACTAATATTTCATTCTGTAGATGTAAAGCCTGATGAGAATGTATGTACCGGAAATACGCCTTAGATTGTGTAATTCGTGTTCTATAACATAGTTCTTTGCCCACTGTGTTCTAACTACCTTAACGCATTCATAAAATAGAGAAGTGTGTATGCAGTTGTACAAACGTAGACTCTTAATATATCAATTTGTATACACCACAAGTACATATGTCGGAAGTTTTTTGTTCTGGGAGGAATCCACGTCATTAAGGTTATACAGATACAAATAGGCTTGCTAACGTTCTTATCAATTCTGTCCTCAGTCAGTCTTTTTTCGGTGTGTGTGTGTTTGTGCCTCCACAAACTAATGGACTTAACCTTAACTCACTCCAGAGACTCAGGGATTGAATTGCTACCAGGGAATAATCTCGGTGACTTAGAATATGCAGACGATATAGTTCTTCTAGGCGAAGACGCTTACAAAATTCAGCAGAGTCTTCTGAACACCTTGAGCTGCAATCTACGAATGTTTGGCATGCGATTCGCCCCCGCCAAATGTAAGATGATGTTACAGGACTGGACTACACTGACTCCTAGTTTAGAAATAGAGAGTGAAGTGGCAGAGCACGTTGACCGCTTCACTTATTTGGGAAGTACCATCAGCCAGTGCCAACGGGTTGATCTCGGACGAAATCTCAGCACGGATACAGAGGGCTAGTTTCGCATATGCCAGTTTACGCCGTCTCTGGCGTAGACGCGATATCCGACTATCGACCAAAGGGCGTGTGTACTGCTCATCAGTCCGCTCCGTCCTCCTTTATGGCTGTGAGACCTGGCTATTGAAAAGATTAGCTGTCTTTGATCACAGGTGTCTGCGTTCTATCTCCCGTGTTAGGTGGTAGTATAATAAGGTGAGCAATATTGAGGTTAGGCGTCGGTCGACTGCTAGGTAGGTGGGAGGGGAAATCAGTTGACGAGGCTGTGAAGCTACATTGACTGAGATGGTTAGGACATGTGTTACGTATGCATGCCTAGTCATCGCCTTCCTCGACAGTGGGCAATGCTAGCTGATATAGAATTCATCAGACTGGAAAAGAGCTAGCGGCAGTCAAACGAAAATATGGCTTCGTCAGTCAATGAAATCTACAACAGCTAGTCTAGGCCACGTAGGAAGGTGTAGACTGGCTTCCTGACTGGTTGGGGTCCTCGGGACGGACAATGAAAACCAATGGTTGGAAACAATTGGTGATATGGTTCAACATTGTTCTCAATGGTGCAGATGCATCCACTCCTTGTGACTTATGATTTCCAATGAAACTATATTGCTCTTCGTTGCTATTATTCCTTTGTCTCTCACTTCCGTTTACTGTCTCTCTATTATGCATTTCTTCTCTTGCTTTGTGTGCTACATAGAGTGTGGTGACTTGAACTGCCGCACATTGGTGCAAAGTTCTATGTCGAATACAGACAGACAGACAGGTGTGTGTGTATGAATAACATTTTTCGATTGAACAAGCAACATCCTTTTCAATAACCTAGTCTTCATCAGGCTCTGCAGTTATACGCATCCATAATAACGGCTAAATAAAGGGATGGTGAAAAACACCAACATCCATAGTACCCAGTAGACCAGTCACCTCTTCTTGTATCTACCAATTAAACTGTAATTGTGGTGGAGCGAGTTATATTCGGCCGTTGCTTTAGGAACTTGATTTTCCGTGCTCACTCGGGAACACCTACCAGTGTGGTTAAATAAAGGTGTGCTGGAAACCATTAACAGGTTGATATTCAATCATCTGATCCAAACTGACTGGCCACAAAGGCAGCATTGGAGAATCTTTCTCCATCATCATCGTTATCTATCGGGTACCTGATATATACATATATATATTTCATTGCCAAAAGCATCCAGATACTGAAGACTCCAAACAGCAAAAGGCTATTGCAATTCGCTGTGTTGTGTCTGTGTTCTGTCTGCGCCTGCTAACTGTCATAACAGTGGTAATGAACTCGACTGATACGCTAATATATGTCTATCTGTCCTTTGTACCTTCCGATTCGCTGAGCTGAGCCTCGCAAACATCAAAAGACAAAGGATGGCTGGCCTGTGACTGTAAGAGATTGTATTATACCTTTATTAGAAGACTAAACATCTTATTTATACATTTATTCACTACAATAAAGTCGGCTCACAGTCTTGAGAATGGATTGTTCTTATTGGCTCGCAATAGCTATTCTCATTGGTTGGTTGGTGATCCGACAAAGACGAAGGTGAGACAAAGGGTGATGAATTGACCTGACCACACACTAAATCACACGATTCCTGAGAAAGGATGATATACTATTTTATGCTGGGTCCAGCTAACCAGTATTACTGCCCTGGTCTTCTGTCGAGTCTGTGAATTCATGAATTCTGTATTGTTATTATTATTACTTTTCCTAATCTTGAACAAAGCAAGAACAACAATTGTACCATAGGATAATATGAGCTCATCTTTTATTATTTTGAGGATTCTTCTCAACTGGTTACAACCTGAACGATAAAAAATATGAATTGCATTACATTAAAGATTTGAACATAATTTTCCACGATCACAAGGAGTAATTGGTAGAAAGTAAAAGTAACATTAGTCCGGAATGATTTAACTAATTAAGAGTTACAAACACTGACTATTTATAAAATAATTAGACAATTAGGCTTGGAAACAAAGAAAAGCAAGCTGTTGTACATTTTTTTTTTTGTTGTCACCAGGGCAGTGCAAGATTCACCACTGGTTTGGTTTAAGTCGTCTGATAGCGATTGCTTCAGCAAAGCGTAGCAAGTTAGGTTTCTTTTGCTTGTTGATTATTTTGAATGACTTCAAGTTGTCTACATTATGACCAGTGTCTAATAGATGACGCGCGATTGCACTGTTTAATACTTGTGGACCTTTCAGTCTCAGGTTCTTTGGTATGTGTTCAGAAATGCGGACAAAAACCCTTCTCTCTGTTCTTCCGATGTATGTGCTTTGGCACGTACATGTAAATTGGTAGACACAGTTGGAGATGACATAAGGTGGGTATTTGTTCACTTTTGATTGTCTCAAACAACTAGTTGTTTGATAAACACATACAAGCTTGGCAGCTATATATGTTCTTTTCAGGGCAGCGTTCAGTCTGCATCGTATTCTACTGGCAGTATCATCACCTTTGAATGCAAGCTGCAGAAAGATTGGCTTTTTCTCTACTGTGCTGCTTTTCACTTTTTCAACATGACGTCTCCCATACTTGTCAGTGAACTTTTGTGGGTAACCGTTGTCGCGTAGGCATTTCTCCACAATGGATAGCTCTTCCTCAATCTTTTCTTCTGAACACAGCTTTCTTACACGATCAAATAATGTTCTGACCAATCCTTTTTTGTAACTTATAGGGCAGAAACTTTCGAAGTTAAGATAAACCGCCCTCCAGGTATCTTTTCTGTGTATATATCTTATGATATTGCCGTCCATATCACGTTGGATACCCAGGTCAAGAAAATGGAACTTCTCTTTTTCATGCTCCATTGTAAACTTAATATTAGGATGGGCGCTGTTCAAGACTTTTTTTAGTACCTGAGATGCATCATCAAAAGAATTACAAATGACGAAAGTGTCGTCGACATACCTGGTATGGTATAGAAGTTGGTCTGACTGATTGCTTTGTTCAAGTTTATTAATGGGAAGAATTGTATGAAGTTTTTCCTAATTTCTCTGATATTCATTCATTCATTCAGTGTGTGTAGTGTCATGATGATGCATATTATCACGCTTACGGGTGCTGTTGAACTCTAATGTGTTGATATTATTGATTCTATGTTATTTAAACAACATTAATGTTGTTTGTGAATTAAGCAAGAACAACACTTTTTTGCGGAATAATAACATTGTACCATCACCGCCTATTACATTGGCTATTCATCAGCTGCTTACAGCCTAATTACATTTTGAAGTTTATGTATAAAAATCTAGTTTCAACATACTGGCAAATTTTACATAATGTCAGTTGACTGACAGGACGTTCGAAAATTAATGAACAGTGCTCAGAAAATTACCCTTATATAGTTTTAACGTGAAGTAGTCACGTAATAAAGACGAGAGGTGCATACGATGATGAGTAACCAATAAATTGGATAACAATGTACCTGAGTTCAACACTGAAATCATAGAAACAAAAGAGACAAGCAAAATTACACTCCACAAAAAAAGGGTTGCGGGGTGGGGGGGCGGGTTGAGCTTAAAGCCAAAGATTACGCGATCAAATGGAGGAGAAAATAAAAACATCCAGTTACCAGACAGCAGGGCAAGGGAAGACTGATGCTAACCGCCTCTTTATGTGAACACAGAAATCGGGTTTCAAGCCTTTGGTAAAGGATTGATTCGGCTAACTTACGGAACTCTTCTGTCTATTGATAGTTTTAAAGGATATTTGCGATTTCGACTTCACAACCCGTTTCTAGGAGAGATGCCTGTTAAATGGCAATATTGTAGCTGTCTGTTCCCCATATTGGTACATGTTCTATTCTCCCAAAGTTGTTATTAAACCTAATTCATTCACTATTGCATGGAGGATTTCATCATGAGCTGACATCAGTTAGAGAACCACTGGAAAACCTGGCAGTACTGGACAGTCGTTTCATCCTAGTTTGGGACTCTTCAGCAGTAAGCACCCACCGGGATTCATTCACACATATAACTGTAAAACCTGATGAAGAGCAAGTTATCGTGAATGTGAATATTCTTTGTTCTAATTGGCATTTATCTTTCCTCACCACCACCACCACCCCTCGATTGTTTCATATTATCTCTTCTTCTCCCTTTGTTTTCCCTCTTCTACAGCTTCAGCTAACCCTAATGAAGGTGAATCGTCAATACAAAGACACCATACTGATCATAATCATCATCATAGTGAATCTTTAGAACCAATTGTCGATAGGCAACCAGTCGGTGTTTTGGCATCAATGAGAGAAACAATTCTGCCTGGATTCTGTGTTCTACTTACATTGCTAGTCACTTTATCAGTCTTTCCAGCAGTTGCTGCAAGGATTAGACCGATGAATGTTATTCCTGGAGATAAATGGACAAGTAAACAAATTAAATTTTCTTTTTTTTACACTTTGATAGTGCTCATACAATGTGTGTGTGTTTCTTTAATATGACTCTTGAGAATAATTTTATTAGTAGGACTTTACAAAAAGTTAGTTTGTAAGGATTTGATTTGTACTCACTCAGTACTCTTTGGTTGTCAGTAGTTCTCTAACTAACTAGTAGACATGTGGAATGCAAAAGGATTGATTGAGCGAATGAAGAAATATCTACTTTTCAGTTAGGTCCTCATCTCACTCTGGCACTACTCTGCTCTAATATACACACATGTATAGGATTTTTCGTTAATGCAATACGCAATATTTTAACAATCATTTCGGGGGGGGGGTGTATATTGATGTAGTTGTGTTCTCTCAGCTCGATGGTCTACTTGCGAAGCTTTCATTGCCCTACTAGGCAACATCTTCAGCGCATACTTCAGTTTCAAAGGAAGGGAGCTTATAGAATTCTCCACGAGCTGATAAATCATCTCTCCTGGCGGGTGGCCTTGAACATGATTTGTTGTCCTTGTCTGTCTTCACATCCTCTAGTCCATTTGTATTGGGATTGGTTGTTTCCTTGACCTTTTGGTGCATGAGATTTACCTCTCATGGATTGGTTAATTCTATCTATGTCAGTGTATCTATTAATTGACGATTCACCGGAATACCAGGATTCCGAGAACAAAATCCTACTTTTGCACGTCTTAGTCAAGATAACAACCACAGGAAAATTAGAAACTCAAGTTTATAGAAAATCAACTCACACAGACCAAATTCACAATTACAACAGCAACAGTCCAGTAACACACAAAAGGAGTTGTATACAAATACTTTTCAAGAGAGCCAACCAGGACTCTCATTTGCAGTACTTCTGCCTTAAGGAGAATTGAAGAAAAATGTCTCATGGACGTTTTCTATCAGGAGAAATATTCCTCCAAGCCAACCAAACTAAATCAAAGGCCCCCGAGGAAGCGAGAAAAGGAAATCTCCCTACCATGTATAAAAGACATCTGAGAAATCACTGCAAGACTCTTCAAGCCGTTAGGAATTGATGTCACACACACACACACAAACCAACAAAATCACTTCACTCAGATGGCTGTATGTTAACCAAAAGACTGAACAGCGAAAGAAGATAAAACCAACATCATCTACAAAATAAGTCGCAACGACTGCGAAAAACATTAACTAAATTGGCCAAAGTGGTGGACGTCACTCCTCTTCGTCTTGGTATCCATGATCATAAACTAGCCACCAAAGGACACATGTCATGCATTCCCTCTCATATTGTTGTTTACGTAACAGGGGATTAAAGAAAAATAAAACAATTCGGACTGTGTTAACTTGTAATTAAAGATGAAGTAGTCAGAAAAAATTATAAAGGAATTTGGACAATTATAATTTTAGCAGGATGACGAAGTAGTCCGGTTTACACATTCATGTCACAATAGCCAAGGTAAGGCAAGTGGATGTACAAATTTCTGCTGAACACGCACAGGTCTAGGTTCTTCAGTTGCTATCCTATTACTTCAGCTGTGTGTGTGTGTGGAAGACGAACTCGTAGAGCAAAATTAAGATTAGTAGGAATGCGATAAGTAGCTTCAAATGCTGTATTAACATCAACTTTACGCTCACGATCTATCTGCAAGGTGTGCTGAAACAGAGATGGCTACGAATAGATCTTGTTTGTTGGCTTGCATAACCACCACTCTGCAGAATGATGTTCGGAAATACGATGATGAACCTGCCTAATTGTATGGCCAATGTAGCTGGCTGGCTCCTCAGCCGCAGTCAAATTGGTAGATACGCATAGGTGAGAAGGCTAAATGAGGTAGTTTGTCTTTATTTCTCGAACGTAACGTCCGGATGCTCGTGAAGAGACAATATACCAACTCTACTGAATTGAAAGGCCTTTTAACTGCATTCTTCTTGAGGCGCTCTCTGTGTTACTATTTCATCGATGTTATCACCGAGGAACTGCAGTTTTATGAATAATGGCTTTTTGTAGCTGTTGGCATACTGACTCGCCTCGCTGCCTAAATTCATATTTTTCTGAGTGAACTTATCTGGATGACCACTTTTACTAAGTAATTATCTAATAATCATTAGCTCCTCTCTCATTGAGGGAGTCGTTTGAACAGACTATCCTAGCTGTATGCACCAAACACTTTAGTAAGTTCCGTTTATATTTCAAAGGTGATAAACTCAAAAAGAAACTGAGTGTACTGACCTGTTGTTGTAGGTTTCCTATACCCACACACACTCCTTCTCGTGAAAGTGTAAAAGTTATAATTTTCCAAATTATTTCATGATTTTTCTAACTACTTGGTGTTTAATTACATGTTACCATTGTTTTAGCCATTTCTACCCTTTAATTGTTTGAATTATCTTTTTGTGGCTTTTATCAAGCCCCATGGCATGTTGATACTGACTAATTATATGTTGATAAACATATAAGTACCACTTGATTGCTAACATGTTGTGTACTGTAATAAAGAGAAATCTTATACATGTGTGTATATTAGAGTAGAGTAGAACCAGAGTGAGATGAGGATCAAATTGAAAAAGTAAGCATTTCCTCGATCAATCAATAGTCTTGCTTTCTAAACGTCTAAATGAGGATTGTTTTTTTCTATATAGTAGAAGCATAGTTTCGACTACAGGTGGACGGAACTGATGAAGGATATCAAAGAGAGGATCGGGAAAGCAAGACAAACTTGCATTACTCTCAAGTCTGCGTAGAGCAGATCAACAGCATTCAGCATGAAAATGAAAATAAGGTCCGGATTTTCAACTTCAATGTGATGAAGTCAGTGCTACTGGACGGGTCAGAGACTTGGCGCGTCACGATAGTCACTTCGAACAAGCTACAGACCTTCATCAACAGCCGTCGTCGCTCAATACTCAAGTTCAGATGGCTGGCCAGAAAAGATCAGCAACAGGGATCTCTGAGAGCGAACCAACGCAGCAGGAGTCAATTGTGCAACAAACATGCAGGAAGAAATGTAGGTGGAGAAAACAAACCATCAAGTGAGTGACATCACACTCCAGACTCTCTCTCTCTCGAGTGGAACTCGAACAGGAAGCGGTGAGTTGGTCATCATTGAGAGGGTGACATGGAGGAGGTGATGTGAAGAGGAGATGAAAGTATGTTGGCAGACATGGAGCCAGGTGTGAAAACGTTGGCAGAGAATCGATCGCAATGGAGACATGTGGCTGAAGCCCTATGTTCCAGTAGTAACTAAAGAAAACAACAATAAATAATATAATGCAGTAGATTTTTAACTATACAATTTGAATTCACTGTTACATTTCACAGGAAACACAACACAGCATAAGAGTTAGTTCTATTAATGATTTTCTATTAGACACTAGGTGTACTAACACTAACTAGTGTCATGCATCTACTCCTTTGTTTAGTACAGATTGAATTTTTTTAATTGTCAGTCAAGTTTGCATGCAATGTGTGGCCAATATGCTAATTTGACGGCTCGACAACACAGTGCCAAGTGAAACTTTAATTACCCAGTAGTAGGCGTGTATATGTGAACGCACCAATTCCCTCGCAACGCTCCCTTTTCCCTTACGGACGGGTGCTGTGAGCTTGCTCAACCCCGTCCACGGGTCGGCCTCGTATTGCATTACCTCGAGGATTGGCCCATTAAAGTGCGTCGGTTGCACAGTGGTTAGGACTTTCGCCGACCATGCACATGGTACGGGGTTCGATCCCCTACCGACGCACACTCGATATCTATGGTCGGCCTGCAAAATTTGGGCTACCGATATCCATGCTGAAAATTCCATACTTGCACTGAAAATACAGTGTGGCATCAAGCTGTAATCAAAATAATAAAAAAAATAAAATAAAAATTAATTAGCCGAGCCAAGACTCCCTATGGCCGATCGTCCTCAACCATTCAACAAAAGCAACATTTCAGAGTAGTGCACTCACTGTGATTGCAAGTCGGTCGCCTAGTGGGCCTGGTGGTCATACTGAAAACTTGACTAACGATTACAAATTTATTCTGCACCAGACTAAGGGAATAGACAGACACACACACACACATAATACTACTAGTTATTTTACTGCCTAATAATGCCCAACCAATGTATCCGATAAACTGAGTCCTACACGGGAGATAAATCTCGAGCCCCGTATATATCTCAGTGGTAACGTCGCTGACTGCATGCAGCACTGAGTGAGTGACATGCGTTCGAATCTCAGAACGAGGTTGAAGATACACACACCACCCCTTCCTGACTGATGTGTGCCAACAAGCACGAAACTCACTCAGGAGCAGCTATCTACAAAACAACAACACAGTTCTCTGAAGAGGTGTGTTGCTTAGTCCAAGAATGTTATCGGAATAAGTGATTTACTTGTTTTGTTTTTTGGTCTACATCAGTTGCACAGCTAACAGCTATTGATTGACAGTATGTCAAGTATTCTAAAATTACCTCACACGCGTATTTTTTTTTTATTAACCAGTTGATTCCATTTGAGTCAAACTGTCATTCCCAGTGCTTAACCTGTAAATTTTTCAAACAACCTTACTCCATGAAAACACAATTGGTCGGTTAGATCTGAAACGAGGCAAAGCAGCGGGAACTGATGGTGGAATAACTCCAGAGGTGTTTAAGGACGGTGGAGACAGACAATTTACTGTCTGGGTTAACCTAAGGTATTAGGAAGAGTTTGGAATAGTGAGAGATAGTCCCGTGTAGCTACTGTAAGTATCACTGATTATATCCTGATATTCACTCACCCACTCACTCACTCACTCAGTGTGCACAGTCTTCTGCATAATCCAGTCGACCACAATTAAGAATATAATATCATCGTTGGTGATAATAGACAGCCTTGTTTGGGGATAACAGCAGGGGGGGGGGTGTTTAAATGCATGTTACATCAGAAGAGCCCCATGTTAAATGCATTTTACTACTTATGAATACTTAACTTTTAACATTTATACTTTGTTTGTTCACACTCTTAGATATTTACTTTGTACCAGTACTGGTATTCTTGTCGTATAATATTTGTGATTGGTGTGGAAGAACTACAGGCGGTCTCCTCAAATGGGTAAGTTAGTTTTAATGCATTCTTCATTTTTCACTCTCATATATATTCCCATTCAGTCATATAAAAGAAGAGGCGTTCAGCGAAAAGTTACCCCCTTTTTTCGACGATATCATTCTCAAGCTGTACTTCACCTATTCGGGAAGTTGTATCAGCACCAACGAATTGATTGGCGACGAAATCTCAGCACGGATCCGATCCAAAAAGCTCGAGCTGCTTTCGCTAACTTACACCATCTCTGGCGTAGGCGTGACATCCGACTATCAACCAAGGGACGTGTGTACTGCTCAGCAGTTCGCTTCGTCCTTCTCTATGGCGGTGAGACGTGGCCATTGAGAGCGGAAGACATGAAGAGATTGTCTGTTTTTGACCACAGATGTTTACGGTCTCTTTCTCGCGTTAGGTGGTATAATAAAGTAAGTAATGTTGACGTTAGGCGTAGAGTGTTGGGCAAAGAGGGAAAATCAATCGAAGAGGCTATAAAGTCACATAGACTGAGATGGCTAGGTGACGCGCTGCGCATGCCTAACCATCGCCTCCCCCTCCCGACGAGCATTACTAGATGATATAGGTGCAGGTTGGAAAAGAGTAAGTGGTGCCATGCCAAACAAAAACATGGCATCAATCCATGAAATCCCTGACAGTTAAACTGAGTCAGGTAGGGAGGGAGATGCAGACTTCCGGGTTGGGGCCCTCGGGACTCTAAGAATCAATGGCTGGAGACACTAGGTGACATGGCTCAAAATCATTGTCAATGGCTTACGCAGATGTATTCAGTCTCTGTAATCTTTTATATTCCTTTCTACTATTACTCATTCTGTTTCACTCTTATACTTGTCAAAACTCTATTGATTCTCTTCACTCATTTTTTTGTCTACCTTTGTATGCTATTTGGAACGTGGCTACTCGAACTGCTGCACTTCGGTGCCTAGTTCCATGTTGAATCCAGCCAGCCAGCCAGCCAAGCTGTACAATCGCATTTATATATAGAGGGGAGTGAATTGTCTTAGCAACAAAAGGAATATTTCCCAGGATGTGTCACATTAGAATTGTAAATTGTTTTTTAGGTAACAAATTACGCACTATGATAAGCGTTAGTGTTGACTGTAACCCACCTTCGAATAATAAGACTCTAATATTATCACGTTTATTTGACACACACACACACATACGTACACTAATATCATGGTCAGTCAGTTAGTTATACTATACTGCTACACTTATCGATCACATCACATCAGTCAAATGACACAGATATCTATCTATCTGACTGACCACCTGATTGACTGACGATGAACTGTGGGGTCATCGTATTTATCACGTGTGTGTGTGTGTGGGTGTGTATGAATAAATCAAATCGAAACGGAGCAGAACAGAGTGTTGTTTATTATCACATTAGATAACCAACCTGTGCGTCGGTGGCATAGCGGTAAAGACGCTCGCCGACCATGCACATTGTCCGGGGTTCAATCCCCGGCCACTGGACGCACTCCTTTACCTCGCTAAGCCAGGAATAATAAAGCTGGTAAAGAGGAAAGGTTGGGCATGAGGCTGGCTAGCAACCCCACCCAGTTAGAAATAAACACCAATGCTACCGAAACTTCAAGCCTCTAGCTTGAAGCGCCCCCTATGTTCCACTGGGAACATGAAGGAATAAAAAATATAAAAAAAGATAACCAACCTCCTTAATCCCAGTGTTATCAAGATACAAATATCTACAAGTGTATTGATGTCGATGGGATCTATTGAATGGATTTATGTGTTGGCCAACTTACATTGATGGATGTATTATGAAAGTGTGAATAAAGTTATGTTTTTTTTACTTTATTTGTAAATAAAGTCTTTGTCTTACAATTAGTTACTTATTCAGAAGCCTGCAGAATAGTGCTGACAGTAGTAGGGAAGCAAGATGATGTGGATATAAAGGAGAATGATGTTCAAGAGGGTTTCGTGTGCTTTTGAAAGTGTGTGGGCGATTGTTGTTACTTCCCGACTGCCCCCACCACTCTAGGAAGTTGATTTATTCTTGGGCTACCTCAAGCGGAAGGAGAATTAGTGTTCCGTGACCACAGAGCCCAGACGGGGCAACTGATTGAGGCCGGTCACCCAAAGCCTGTCTGAACTGGCTTTTTGGTTTGGTTCCGTATTAGTAACTTATCGCCGGCTACGAACCACCGGGATGTACAATTTTTCAGGTCGATCTTCTCCGATCCCCTCTCTCCAGAGTGGAGAGAGACAGCACAGCTGGCTGACGACATGCCGGTCATCTGAGAGAAACATCGCCTTACTGCTATTACTAGCCCTATTCCCTAGCAGTACAACTTTGCCCACAGACCAGACCCCCAGCATGGTGTAAAAAGAAATCTTACACTATTCTCGTATCTGCTTTTAGTTTAATCGCTATCCTAACAATCTTTATGGCATGGTAGGACCTGTAGGAACATCAGTTCCCCAGTCAGTGTAGCTTGTTGTGGGTCATTGAGATATGCAAGCCCGACCGACAACCACGTCAGCTATCGGTCGAGTTTGGGTATTTTCTCTGTCTGTCTGTCTCTCTCTCTCTTACTCTCTTTTCTTGCTTTGTGTGCTGCTGCATGGAGTGTGACAACTCGAAATGCTGCACATCTATCTGTACAAAGCGTTCTACGTTGAAACCAGTCAGTTAGTCAACTAGCGCATGTGTATGCTTTTGTTGTCTATCCTCATTTGTATAATATGTGTAAGTCATTAGGTAAGTTCATCGCCCACAATCTTTTTTTTTTGTTTTTTTTTGTTTCAGCCTAGGAGAAATCAAATGCGATTAGTTTTGGCACTGTGTATTCTACGTTTCGTTCTTATTCCATTCTGTATGTTTTGTAACGCTCAACCAAGAGAGCGCTTACCAGTTCTATTCAAACATGATGTATTTCCAGCACTGCTGGTGATTATTTTAGGCCTGACTAACGGTTACCTTATGACTATTTCAATGATGCATGGACCAACGTGAGTTCTTTTCACTTTTGTTTTCTATACGTTTGTGTTGTCAAGCAAGCTGTGTGAATATACTAGTGAATATGGCAGATTGACAGATGGTCGCACTGCATCGTGAAGTTTCAAAAGTTGGGATTCATTGTGAGACTGACTGGCCATTGGATCGGATCCCTCAGTGGCTGTTTTTTAATGGTCTACGAGCTAGCTAGCTAGCTCGCTGGCCTTGTAACCAAGATGGTCCTGGGTTCGAATCCTGTCGGTGTCTGATGGGTGGTGGTGAGTGGTTGCGTCGTACACTGGTGAAGCGGAGTCTCAAACAACTCTTTCTAGTATACTCCCTGCGGGGCTGGTTTTTCACTGCTTCTCTCTAACCGATATCAGTCAATTCACAAGGAAATAAATCCTGAAACCAATCAGCCCCCCCACCCCCACCTGCATAACTAACAATTGAGCTAACTGTTTGTATTGTATCCCCCCTCTATTCTTAATTATTTTTTTTTATTCGATGATATTGATAAATTTTGCTTTATTCTTTCGCCTTAATAGTTTTGCATCTCCTGGAAATCATGAATCTGCTGGTGCAGCGCTGTGCATATATCTTGCTCTTGGATTGTCCTCCGGTGTGGCTTTATCAGTTGGATTTGTTAAAGCTGTATAATTCTCTATTTCATGTATGTGTATAGAGTATGCTTATACACACTCACACACGCATAAACACACATCAAAGAAAGATATTCATTCTAATGCGACAGCTTTTTTGTTCGTTTCTTCGTTTTTTTCGTCTGTTTGTTTGTTCATAAAACTAATTTCTGAAAAAAATTTCTTTTTCGTGTGTGTGTTTATTATCCCTGGAATAATTATAGTGTTACCTAAACAAACACGGGGGTGATAAACGCCCATTGCATGTTCCTATTATATTTTCAAAATAAGACAGTGTATTTTGTTTTATTCTGTGTGTATAGCCTTCTGTTCCAGCAATAATTAAACTGTAATAAAAGTGTGTTTTAAATTGTAAACCACTAGACAATTTTTTGTTTTCTTTTTCGTTTGTATGCAGTAAAGCAAGTTTATGTGAATCCTTAGACGATATAAACACATTTAGTAGTTAGCAGAGGAGCGGAATGCGGCCGGGGGAAGCGGGTCGGTCGGTCGATCGGTTTTCGACATAGAACTTTGCAAATATGTGCGGCAGTTCAAGTCGCCACACTCCCTCCACTCCATGTAGCACACAAACCAAGAGAAGAAAGTAGAAGAAATGCATAATAGAGAGAGACAGTAAACAGAGGTGTGGTGAGACAAAGGTATAGTAATAACGAAGAACACAATATAGTTTCATTGGAAATCATAAGTCACAAGGAGTGGATGCATCTGCGCCAGCCAGGTATTGAGAACGATTTTGAGCCATGTCACCAATTGTTTCCAACCATTGGTTTTTACCGTCCCGAGGACCCTAAACAGTCAGGAAGTCTACATCTTCCTACGTGGCTTAGACTAACTGTTGTAGATTTGATTGACTGATGTAGCCATGTTTTGGTTTGACCGCCGCTAGCTCTTTTCCAGCCTGGCCCTGTGTCAGCTAACATTGCCCGTAGTCGAGCAAGGCGATGACTAGGCATACGTAGCACATGTCCTAACCATCTCAGTCGATGTAATTTCAGGGGAAGCGGGTGATTGTGAACGATTAGTTATTCTTTTGATTCCACAGTTGTGTGATGCGCTCGGTGTGGACAGTGATGATGATGATGACAGTTAATAAAATGCTGATTTGTTGAGTATCTGTATGTATGTGTATATCAGTAGAGGTGAAGAAAAAGGAAACGGAAGCAGGAAGTTCTCTTGACCTCTACCCTATCTGTGTTTATCCCACAACAATTTAAGGGAATTAAATATTTTCTATAGTTTGGTTTGTAAGGGTTAGTTGTGTTTTTTTTTACGAGTTGATCACGGATTGATATATCAGTTAGAGAACTATTGAAAACCAGCTACAGGGAGTACTACTGGGCAGCTGCTGTTTCATCAGCCTAGTTTGGGAATCATCGGCAGTACGCACCCACTGCACCGGGATTCGAACCCAGGACCTTCCGATGATTCCCAAACTAGGCTGATGAAATAGCAGCTGTCCAGTACTTCCTGTAGCTGGTTTTCAATAGTTCTCTAACTGATATCAATCCGTGATCAACTCGTAAAAAGTAAAAACATAACTAACCCCTACAAACCAAACTATAGAAAATTAATCTGATGCTCGCTAGTGACTTGCTACAGGATGGAGTTTCCTGGAGTCAGTCAGTTCTAGTGAGAAATCGTGACCAGTAGTGAGGTTCATCCAGATGTCACATGTGAGGATGGATGTCCCACCGACAACATTGGTTGGGGTTGCGCTAAATCACGAATCGGTAGAAGTTAGAATTCATGCACTGGCCATTGAATCGGGTGGGTCCCAGTGAGTGGCTGAATGGTATACGAGCCAGCTTGCCTTGTAACCGAAAGGTCCTGGGTTCGACCCAGGCGGAGTGGGTGCGTACTGCCAATGATTCTCAAAAATCTAGGATGAAACAGCGGCTGTCTGGCAGTACTCCCTGTGGCTGGTTTTCAATGGTTCTCTAACTGATATCAATAATCCGTGATCAACTAGGAATTAAATGTGTCTATCGTGAGAATAAATTCAGTTTTAGTCTAGATAATGTTAATTCGGAAGAGTACAGAATACACAGTTTTTTTTTGAAGCATAAATATCATCACTTGTTAACATCCATTGGTAATAAAATTGTGAAGCTACACATATGTGGAAGAATAGTGAATTAATTACGAATCTTAGTTAAGCAGTGTTGTTCGGCATAGTCCATCTCTGTCTGTCTCCCTCTCTCTGGCTTAGTGGGCGTGATATCCGGCTAGGTGTCGACCAAAGAGCCTGTGTACTTACTGTTCACCAGTTCGCTTCGTCCTCCTTTGTGGCTGGCTGTGAAACATGTCCACTGAGAGTGGAATACATGAAAAGGTTAGCTAGCCTGCTGTCTTTGATCATAGGTGCCTGCGTTCTATCTCCCGTGTTAGGTGGTGTAGGTGGTAGTTGTAAGAGGGTGAGCGAGTAATATTGAAGTGAGGCATCGATCAGTCGAGTGCTCGGTAAGGAAGGAGGAAGGGGGAACCAATCTATTGATTAGGTTGCAAAGCAGTTACATCGACTGAGCTGGTTGGCTAGGACATGCATTACTCACGCATGCATACCCGCTTGCCTAGTCATCGCCTTCCTCGACAATCGGCAATGTTAGTCACTGACTGACATGGGATGGATGAGGTTGGAAAAGAGTTAACTAGACATTGGTGGTGGTGGTGGTCAAACCAGAACATGACTTCATCATCAGTCAATGAAGTCCACAACAGTTAGTTTAAGCCAACCGGCCACGTAGGGAGGTGTAATAATAATAATAATAATAATAATAATAATAATTTGCTTTATTCCAAAAACAGTACTTGTGACACCGAATGGAATTTTCAGCATTAATCACAATATTGCATCTAATTTCCTCTAATTATAAAAAAAATTAATCACAGGAAATCTTCCACATTTACAATAGGGGTAGTGTCAAAAACATGCAGCATATAAAATAGAAATAATATCAAGCGAAAATTATCGTGGGCTTGTTTCACACAGTATTCTGGATGCAGTATAGAAATCCTAGCATGTTTAAAGATATTCAATATAATGTTCTCTTTACATGATATGGTGAGGGGAAAAGCAACGATTACAACAGTCATTGAGATAAATTGGTGTTTGCAGTTATGAAAGTGAAAACAAAGAATCAACAGGAACATAAGTATAATAGAAATAATAAAAGTAAAACTTGAAGGTATATAAGGATGGATGGATGGAGGAGATTGTTTATTTACTAGATGAAAAAAGGTTAGTCAATTCTTGCCTGACGCTATTTTCATCACATAAAATACGTGCCAAGTATGGTATCATAGAAGTTTTATACTTAGACGTGCGAGCATACAGTTTTCTGAAGTTACTTCTTGTTCTACCTGAGGAGATGCAAGGTGAAAGCTGAGGGTGAAGTGGATGCTCGAATTCAGACAAAATCTCTTTAGCAAATTTACTGCACGAAGTCAAATGCCTATCGACAACGACATCAACTATGTAGTCCACTGGGACACCACTCATCCTACTGACAGTCTTCAGCATTCTACGAATTGTGACAAAGTCCTTTTTAATCAAACCAGGAAAGAATAATCAGGGGTGAACAATAAAGAAGAATAGGTAGGATGCAAGAGTTTATGAACTGTAAGAGGAGGGGTTGAGTTATGCCCGAGTGCCTTAACTTCTTAATGTAAAATGTCAGGCGGAATATTTTACTGGAGATCGCTAAGACATGGGAAGACCAGGAGAGATCAGAAGAGAGAATAAGTCCAAGATACTTAATTTCTGATTTAATTCCTGTATCATTGTCATCAATCTTACAACTGTCATGAGAATCGATGGCGTCTTTTAACTGTCGTTTACATCTTAAGCTGAAATTAACACTTTGTCATTTAGAAGGATTCAGTTTAAGACCGTTAGACTCAGACCATTTACTGACTCCTGACAGAAAGCTATTTATTTTGGTACAATCTAGCTGGGAGTTGACAGCCATTGAAACAGTTAAATCATCAGCGTACTTCACAAAGTTTATTTCATCAGACTGAGGCAAGTCATGTAAGAAGAAAGAAAAAAGAAAAGGAAAAAGACAGCGCCTCGAGAGACACCAGCTTCAGTAGGCTATGTATGAAATGGAAGACTTCCCTTTATACACGGTGTACTGCTTTCTTTCTGAGAAATAAGAATGTAACCAGTGAACAGCCCAACATTCTGTTTGACTAGCAGCAAGTTTATTTAATAAGGTGTCTCTAGGGCCTGAGCCAAAAGCAGATGTACAGTCTAGGAAGGCAAAACGAACAAATTTAGCCCCCTTGTGTAGACTGGAAGCAATGTAGACTGCCTGGTTGTAGCCCTCGAGATGGTGGTGAGAACCAATGAATGATGAGACAATGGATGATATGGCTGGTCCAAAATTATCGTTCTCCATTGCTGGTGCAGATGCATTCACTCTTTGTGATTTATAATATCCGATAAAATTCTACTGTTCTTTCATATTACTACTATTCTTTTTGCCTCATTCACACTTCTGTTTATTATCTCTCTCTCTCTCTCTCTTGCTTTGTGCGGTACATGGAGCTAGTGTGGCAAACCCAAACTGGTGCACATCTGTGGAGAGTTTCATGTGGAATCCAGTCAGTCAGTCAGTCAGTCACTAGGGAATGACTCCAATTCTCCGTTTAGTGTGTATTTCATGGCATATATTCGCTTGATTCTTTGATGAAGCATCTGATTAGTTGATTCTAGGTATGTGGCGCATGAGTTGCACGACTAGCGATGGGCCATGGAAGACCCCATGGCTATAATTCTTTCTGTCGTATTACTTAAAAGTCGGTGCGTCGGTGGCACAGTGGTTAGGACTCTCGCCGACCATGCACATGGTCCGGGGTTCGATCCCCAGCCGGCGCTCACCCGATATCTATGGTCGGCCTGAATTTGGGCTACCGATATCCATGCTGAAAATTCCACACTTGTACTGAAAATACGGTGTGGAATCAAGCTGTAAATCAAAAAAAAAAAAGTATTAGTTGTTGTAGTATAATGATAATAAAGGCTGTGTTCCAAACATTACTTTCTATGCCATGTGGAATTTCCAGAACATATTACAATATTGCGTCTAGTTTTCTTTTTACATTAGGTAGTACCTACCGGTGGGGTGGGGAAGAATAACTAATATAACATTTGCATTGATAATATTGTTCAATAGTTAGAGTGTGGAAATATTAACAACAAAATAATTGATGATATAAGTATAAAATTTGG